TTTAAGTTTCCCCGTCTCCTTTTTATTGTTTTTTTTTTTTTTTTTGGGCCCATCCACACTTATAAATTTTGAGAAACCTTTAGCCGGATTACGTTAATCGTCAATAGGCATGGCCACTTTAAAATCTCGCTTGCCTGCTTTCCTTTCAGGTACGCTGGATTCATCTCTGGCGTCGCAATGTCCATAGCGTCTGTTGTGGCCATCCCTGGCCCCCTGATGGTTGCCGCATTGACGCCGACGGTAAGTGATAGAAATTAGTTTTAGCATTTTTACCCTACTTATCATGAAAGCTGTTCGATTCTTATATGTAAAATAAATGTATTAAAGCTAATAAATCATACCTAGTTGCAAATATCTCAGAACTGCGAAGGAGTGGAAAGCTGAAATGGATGCATCAGTATCATGCCCAGTGTTTAAAATTAGCTCTTTCAATCATCTCTTGGGGGGGGGGGGCAACTTCCTGGGAAAAATCAACCCCCCCCCCCCCGAGAAACGGTGCACAACAAAAACAAAAATATATTATATAAAACAGATTTTTTTTTTTTTATATGTAAAATAAATGGATTAAAGCTAAAAAATCATACCTAGTTGCAAATATCTCAGAAATGCGAAGGAGTGGAAAGCTGAAATGGATGCATCAGTATCATGCCCAGTGTTTAAAATTAGCTCTTTCAATCATCTCTTGGGGGGGGGGGGCAACTTCCTGGGAAGAATCAACCCCCCCTCCCCCGAGAAAATGTGTACAACAAAAACGAAAATATATTATATACAACAGAATTTTTTTTTTAAATAAGAATAATAACTGTTGGCTTGAACAGATAACAATAAGTGGAACCTAAAAATATCGATACGCTCGATATATCCGATGATTCTGTTATCTATGACTAATGTTTTTTGAAAGGCTTACATAATTCGCTATTGGTTTTAAGCAGAATCCTTTTTTTATTGATGTTGTTATTGTTGTTCGCGTTTTTTCTTTATTTTTTTTTCTTACAAGCTGACACGTTTCAAGAATGTATTAACACGTATTGGATTACACCACCATTACATCAATATAAAGGTGTTCCATTTGTTTTGTACAGATCTTGCTAAGTGCAATCTGATTTCAAATTATTACTGGTCATAAGAGCACGACTTTTAAAGTACGGACATGTGTTCATTGTAAAATATGTGCGACACTGTCATGATTTTAAAATATAGTTATTGGGCATAATTTGAAATGTATTTTATTCGATATGTTTTGAGCTGGATGAAAAAAAAACTTTTAAAATAATGAATAATTTTATTTGTTCGTATCATTTATATTAATGCGGTTATAGCGGGTCGTTGCACTGACGGTATTTAATTTTAATTTTTTTTTTTTGTATGTCTTCTTTGTCAGAACGCGCAGACCGAGTGGACCACAGTTTGGCTCATCATGGCGGCAGCGATATTGGCCACCGCTGTCCTATTTCTCGTGTTTGGCCAGGCCTCCCCTCTACCATGGGCTGACGCCGATGTTCCGTTTAGTCCAGCTGTGGGGGCGCAAAGTAACGGCGTCATTGGAAGCACCGCCCCTGACACTGACTAACTGACTGACTGACTGACAGACTGACTGACCCGGGTGTTGACCGTAGCGTTGCTTTTTATCATCTTAGCCTCCTCGTGTCCGTTTTCCAAGGGAACTGATCTTATCTCTAGGCCTAGCCAGGGCTGCCACTCATTTTTTTTAAAAATTCCCAAGATTTCTTCAAAGCATTTGCCAAGATTTCCCAAGATCGAGAAAATATTTAAGATGTTTTTTTTTAAAGGATCTTGGGAATTTTATAAAAAAGTAAGTTTTTGTGCAGAATGGGGCAGTGAATTCCCAAGATCTTGGGAAATTTCCCAAGGTGTGGCAGCCCTGGGCCTAGCCCATCGGACTATTGCAGACTACGCAAAATAGCTGTGAGTAGTTGCCTTGGGGCTCTAGTCGGCATGTTTACAAATAGCATGCCGATTAAGAGACGTTTGGCCACAACCCCTGAAACGTTACCCAAGGGAAATTACCACCGTGTAAGGGATCCGCACTGAAAGGCAAAGGTAACGCACGGAGACTGCGCTAGAACGAGCACGATTGCATGGCTTCCCAGTCGAAGTGCAGTCGAATTTATATAACTAAATGCAGAGACAGGTTGGGACATGATTACAGTTGCCGTATGGATATGAGGTGAAGGCGTGTGGCAACCTTTCACCGATGATTCTAACTATGCAGTATTGAGGGTACTATTCCTAGGCAACCTGTCTCTCCCATCTACGGTGCGAATTAGTTACACCGTAGAATAACCATACAAACCCTATTAGAGGGCGTCGGTTCAAACAACTTCGCGTCCCCCCGGAGTGGGAAGGGGGGACTTAGAGACGTTTAATATATCCACTCCAAACCCCTAGAAAGTCCGGCCCGGTTGCTGCGTGGACAGCAACCCAGCTGGCCAGGTGTTTCTTCTCTGGGGCTGCCACACTCAGCGGCCAGTCGAGTGGAGGTCGGGTGTGGCGGTCTTAGGGGCGGAACGTCCCTGGCGTGCCGCTTCGCGGCCCGTTCGGAATAAAGACCACCGGGGGAGTGGTTGAAGGCCGGTTTGGTTGGCGGGGTGGTGCGTTGGGGGGGGGGACCATATGAGCCTCGGCTCGGTGTCTACTGATTTTCTTAAGTTAGTTAGTTAGTTGCCTTCTAGAAGGAGACGGTAGCCCAAGATTTTCGCCCATTTCTTTCCTTCCTGAAGGGTTACCGCCCTTGGTAGCAAATGCTTCGGACAATGTATCAAGTCGTGACTTCGTTGGATGCATATACTCTTGGGACGAAGTTGGCCAAATGACAAGAACACCGCTGTCTCTTAGGTTATACGGCGATATACGGCTTATATCTGATAGCTTGTTTCTTAAGATTTATCACAGATAGATTAATCATTGATAGACTCATTACTGATAGATTCATCACTGATAGATTCATCACTGATAGATTCATCACTGATAGATTCATCACTCATAGATTCATAACATGATAGATTCATTACTGATAGATTCATCACTGATAGATTCATTACTGATGAATTTATTACAGGTAGATTCATTCTGATAGATTCATTGATGTTACATCACAGATAGGTTCATCGCAGAAAAAATCATCACTGATATATTCATTTGTGATACATTATTTATTGATAGATTCATCATTATTATTGAGAGAGAAATACACGATAGATTTGTCACTGATAGGTTTATCTCAGATAGATCGATCACTGATAGATTCATCAGTGACAGATTTATCTCTGATAGATTCACCACTGATATATTCATTAATTATAAGAACCTTCATGACTCAATCATCCGAGTCCATGGAACGATGATTATTTCAAACTTACAGAGAAGAAAACTCTTTGATGTAGGATTGTAATCGTTAATCATTGATTATCGAACTCGGTTGCTTGTTCCAGACGACTAGTTTAATTATTGGAATTGAATACGCATGAATTTTTCCTTTTTCTTTTGGAGTCAAATAATATGTGCTAAGTAAAAGGACCAACGGACATACGATCCAATCCAGAAGAAGATATTTTGATAAGACTTAAGAAATTATTTTGGTTGAACGCTATTATCGAATAATTATGCAATTATATATACATAATTTTTTTTAAGATCATTTAATTTTGAAAAGAAAAAATACGGGAAACATTGATTTATTTTCTTTCATTTTTGAATTGAACAAAATGAAAATAAGAAACAGAAATTGAAACTGGAAACCCACTTTACATTGCCTTACTTTAGTTTTATTTTCATTGTTGCCGTATCTGTTCACTTACGAGGTCTTTTCGGGGAAACATTTATGGTTTGGTCTCCTTGCATGGCATTCCCCAAAACACTTTAAAAAAAAAAATAATAATTTCTAAAGGCTGTTAAAATTACTCTTTCAAAGAAATGTCAATATTAGGTGTTATGATTTTAAACTTTAGTTCCAGAGTTATGTATGAAAACAGATTGCACATGTCTGATGCCTGGGGAAAACTGTTTTAAAATTAATGACCTTGATACTGATGTAAAATCAGTTAGATACAGTGTTAAGAGAATCTTTAAATTTTAAAGTTGAAGAAAAAATAAATAAATAAAAATGCCGATGTATGCAATCATCGGGAAATAGGAGGTCGGCTCATAATTTGGCGAGGCTAATTTTCAAAACATTGCGATATTTATGTAAGCTTCTAACAAGATCAGCTTAAAATATTCGTGTCACCAAATATATAGATAAATAAAATATTTGGCATCCCCTCTGTTACGCATTGGCTTTTAACATGAGAAATTAATCTCATATTTTAATTTTAATTTGCTCGTTGTAAAAAGTGCCTAACAAAGGACCATACCATAGAATCAACAATATTAAAGACAGTTGCTAGTTACAGTTAATAAGATTTATTAAGTATTAATACAATAACAAAACAAAAGAAATATAATTATAAATCATCAACTTACAGTATGGTAGATCTTGTACCGGTACACAGTTAATACAACGTGTCCAATTAATAATGATGAATGTGAAATAAACACATATGAGCACACAAATACATCAATAATAATACACGCCTCGTAAAGTTAATAATATCTATCTGCATCTCCTTCTCTCCGTATCTGTCAATCCCTTATATAGGTGGGTCTATCGACGCGTAAGCCCTGCCTTCCAGAAGCTACTCAGCATTTGTTTACCTTTCTAGAAGAAATCGTGAAAATTCTACAAAATACTAGGACACAGTCTAACCTTGTTTAATTGGTAAACACGGTTGTAAACATGATACATAAAACGAATAAGCCACGCCCACAACAAACGCTAACGTCTGGTAGGGATCTAATTTGGGTCAAGCAAAATTCAAGCACGGGGAAATCCTGTAAAACGTTATACATCACACACAAAAGACAGACGAGAAAAGATCCATCTAACATTCCTCTATAAAGTGGTCACAGGACTAGTGCCGTTCATTCCAGTTACCACGTACCTCACCCCACAGAAGCCAATTCGCTTAATCAGAGCCAAACGCTCAACGAACACTGACTCCACCTCTGACATCTCCATCCGGAGTTGCATCTGGAACAACGGCAAATGCTTCACTGTGCCTCTGAGTAACACAGTTCAATATAAACAATCATTCTTCCCATGAGCGATAATAGCTTGGAACCAACTGGACAATGCCGCCGTGGACTCCACATCAATCGAGAGTTTCAAGGCTGCCCTGGCACCTGCTAGGAGCGCTTAGGATAGACGCATCGTTTCCCAAACTTCTGCACACATGCCAGGACGTGGATGCCAGCAACGTATTCTATCAGAAGCAGAATCAAATATTTTACAGGTTTCACTATTTGTAATCGGTAAATGGCTCCAGTTACTATTCTTTTTAAAAAAATTGTTTAAGAAATGACAATATAGCCTTTTTTTTTTTTTAAAATAAAATGTGTTTTCTTTTTATTGTTTTACACCTTTTGCTCGGTTGGGGGGGCACTTGAATATCTAAGGGGGGGGGGGCGTCACTTCCCACTCCCCACATAGACATGTCTCACTCTATCCTATGACAGGCATTCCTAACTATATGACAGGCATTCCTAACTATATGACAGGCATTCCTAACTATAAGACAGGCATTCCAAACTATATGAAATGCATTCCTAACTCTATGACTATACGGGGAAAATTTCTATAAACAATTTCTTAACTTAGATAATATATAATTCATTAGGAATGTTACGCACTGCGTTCTATAGTGAGAAATTAATCTCTTATTTAAGTTATTGGCTCGTTCTAAACAGTGCCTAAAAAAGAATGATACCATAGAGAAATAAAATAGCAAAACTACGCCACTCAAAACAGTACTAATTACAATAAATAAGATTTATTTAAGTATTACTATAATTACAAAACAAAAGAAATATAATTACAATCATCAACTTACAGAGTAAGAGATCCTTGTACCGGTACACAGTTAGTACAATGTGCCAATTAATAAAGTACAATGGTGTATGCGAATAAACACATATGAGTACACACTATTATACACTTGACTCGTGAAGTGAAAAATATCTATCAATCAATATATCTCTCTTAATGTTCTCTGAACCCCATTATATATGCAGCGTAAGACGCATTCCAGAAAAGACTTAGACATTGTTTACTTTTCTAGTCCAATCGCGAAGTTCCACAAAACACTATGAGAACAAACTAACCCTTTTTAATTGGTGGCGGCAGTAAACACGCCAAGATGAAAAGAAATAGGCAACGCCCGGTAGGAACGCAGACTGATTTGGGGTCAAACAGAGTTCACGGCACGGGGAAAGTGTGATGTAAACACGTCTTACATAACAAGGAATATTTTAAGAATCGTACTGACCCAAAAGCGGACAACACAACCACCTCTTCATCTCTACTTGCCACACATTAAACAAGGCTATGTTGCCGTGCCACAACCACAAACACCATTTTCTTGTCGTTCTATCAACAGCCCTTTAAATCAATACTTCTAAATAAAAATATATATAAAAAAAAACAAAAAAACCTTACCTTAAACCAGGGGTCGGAAAACTCAGCAGTCAAGTGAGCCAAAAATCAGGAGCAGGACGATGAAAACAAAAATTTGAGAGCCAAATTCATTTTCAAGAATCAATCAAGAACCCAGTTTTTCGGAGTAAAAACCGATTTGTGGCCGATTGGACGACCTGCATTCAAGGTCGCTAAAGAGTCGTATGCGCAAACCCGAGCCGCAATTTAGCCGAACGCGGTCGTAAACGATTAAAAATAATCGTTTTGAAATAACAGACAATCACCCTCAGAAGTCTGTTGTTAGGTAAGCATTTTCGTTAGATTCCTTATGGAGAAATAAATAAGTCTTATTTACATCATGTTGCTCCATTCAATATTTGGCACCATGTTATTATTTTTAATTTTAGATCGGCCTCTCAAACAGCTGGATTATTATGCAGCTTATTGGAAGTCGTGAACAGGATATATCATTCCACAATTGTCATCCACGACGAATACGTTACATTGGGTCACAACGACCTACTTGAACTAATGTGGTATCCGTGACCTAATATGAAAAATATAATTAGCATATTTCACTGCTACAAGCCAAGCGCGAATTTCAATATAAGCAATCATTCTTGGGGGAAAGCGGAACGGTCATGTCTTAGAGATAACGATGCAGAAAATTTAGCACAGAAAATGGATGGTAAAGGCGATCTGCTTGTCAGCTTAGACATGGAGGAGAACAAGGGGATGAACTCAGCAGCAGAAGGCATCGGTAATTTGGAGAGTTTCAATGATCGTAACCGTTCAGTGACAAACGACGTCACAAACAGCAACATGCTTTCAATTGGTGAACAAGGTAACTCACTCTTAGAAATTCGTTTAAATTTCGTGGGGTCCAAGCCTACGAATAGTGATCAGATTAATACTAATGAAATCTCAGACTTGGAAAATGGAAATGCAAGTTCCAAAAACGTTGACTATGTCCCCGAATCAGCGGCTGACCACGCCGCTGGGTTCAAGTATGAAAACTCAAATCCCGTCTGTTTTGAAAACGCTGAAACTAATAAAAGCAGTCTTGTGAATGAACACGCGGCTGATTCTCACACGTTCGCATTGTCTAAGACACAGTTGGAGTGCAAAGAAGGACAGCTTAACAGAGACGTAACACAGAACGACTCTAAGTTTGGGAACTCATTAAAAGACAACGCGTCTGATCAACGCAGCATTTCAGGTAGAAAGCAACACGTGACCCCGAATCTTGACCACCACGGACGTGTCAAGAGACGAAGTAAAGCCGTGCGCTCCTGCCAGTCACTGGCCACACGTGTGTTCTCGTGGAGGTCCATGATGCTGCTACTGCTTCACCTGTCATTCGTGATTAACACCATCCCCAGGAACACGGCCCCCATGGCCATAGTGTGTATGGTCAGACCCCGATCAGGCGATGGCTCAATGGATGGGTCGACGAATGCCACGATGATCGGAGTAACTGAGGGTTCGCTCGGTTCACAGATGGAAAGGGCGCTCAGTGCGGCTGTTCAGATAAATACGACAGGCGAGAAGGTGAGTTGAACAAAACAATACAAATTCAAGTTGGGGTGTGTAGCATTGATTACCTATTGCCACGAGATTGTCAGTAATTGGAGTGTCTAATGTTGGCTAGGTTGCAACTGAGCTTCACTTCAATATAAACTGAAACAAATCTAAAAGAATGTGTGCACATTGTTAGTTGTCCTCTACTCGGACTGTGATTCACAATGTCTTTTTTCCCCCCTCAATGCGTGTCTATCTGTTTTTCTTAGAAATTTAGACTTTTTTTCTGACCTGCATAGAGCTAACAAATATGAACTGAACAAATTGTATGTTATTATAATCATTGCACCGCTTGACGAGACCTGTGCAAATGTTGTTTTTAGCTAATTTCAACATAGCACTTACTTGTCGGTGTAAAGGGGGGTTGAAGATTTTAATCATCCTTTGTTTATTTAAAAGATGCTAAATTTAAAAAAAACAGGTAACTAACTTTTGATTTGAGAATTTAAAATGTATGTTATTATTGTTCATTTAATTTTTTTTACTCCCCCCCCCCGGCCTCCATCAGTCTGATGATTTCGAGTTTGACTGGGACTCCAACCCCGTGGGCCTTGTCTTGTCATCCATCACATTCACGTCATGGGTGGGGCCGTTCTTTGCTAACCTGGTACGCGGTTACCTTGGCAACAAATGGACAATTACTCTGCTGACTCTTGGCTCCGCATTGACGACTTTGTTATCTCCCCCTGCTGCACGCATTGGACCGAATGTTCTGGTCGGACTCAGGATAATCTCAGGACTCGCTTTGGTGAGTAGTTTATGGTCATCTGAGGACTCGCTTTGGTGAGTAGTTTATGGTCACCTGAAAACTCGCATTGGTGAGTAGTTTATGGTCATCTGAGGACTCGCACTGGTGTGTAGTTTATGGTCATCTAAGGACTTGCACTGGTGAGTAGTTTATGGTCATCCGAGGACTCTCTTTGGTGAGTAGTTTATGGTCACCTGACAACTCGCATTAGTGAGTAGTTTATGGTCATCTGAGGCTTGGTACTGGTGAGTAGTTTATGGTCATCTGAGAACTGGGACTGGTGAGTAGGTTATGGTCATCAGAGGACTCGCACTGGTGCGTAGTTTATGGTCACCTGAGGACTCGCACTGGTGAATAGTTTAATTGAATTAAAAATAAGTGTATCTCCGCTGTGGATATTGCTTTACAGATTTGGCTTGTGTGGGAAAGAAGTGACCTGTTTCGGTATGACGCTTGGGATAGTTTTTATTTTTGACATCTGTCTATTACTACGGAGTTTGTAGTCAGAGCACTATTAGTTATAAGCAATTCTGGAAATAAAGCAAAGAGCCTAGCCTACTTTGGCCCTTAAGAACTCTTCCTTCATAACGGATTTGGGTGTTTAAAAAAAAAAAAAATTTTTTAAAGTATGTAACATATGTTATGATCCCACTCTGACAATTCTTGGTGGTAACATTGTTAACTAATATTGTGAAGGATTGGCCTGCCGCTATCACTCTACCCATGGATTCATTCACTCCACAAACGTATCTGTTCTCTCTTTCACTAATGAAGTGGTAACGTCCAATGAATAATTCACAGCACTTGATAACATATAACTAATACGTCAAATAATAAATCTTTTGAGAATATCCTTTTAACAATTAGAGGATGCAGTCAATAGTTGCACACACGTTCAATCTTCCATGTGATAATAATTTAATAATTCATACGAAACATAAAGCAATATGTCTGCCTTCCTTCAGAGAACAAACCGTACACACCCCTCTACTCTCTTAACGTGCATTCTCACTTCGCTCTAAAAAAAAAAAAAAACTGGTTCTCGCACATTTCTCGTGATTCACATCGTGTTCATAAAATCACTACGCCATCCTGTTGTGAGAATGAATAATAGTGTCGTGTTAAAAATTATAGTTAACCTGGTCTGTTACAAACTACAAGTTATTTCTCTGTCATTTCCCATACCAATTAACACCATTGAAAGCATAAAGATAATGTTATATCTCGCTAGCATTGCATTTGTTTACACCCCCCACTCCAGGGAGCAACCTTGCCTATTGTTTCAGACACCATTGTCTGGTGGACTCCAGAATCGGAGAGGCTGACCGCAACAGCTGTGACATTTTCTGGTATGTTGAGCCTAAGTTCATAGCGTCCCAAGTATTTTTTACAACAAGAATAGAGTCATATGTCCTTGACAAAAGAAAACCTTAATTCAAATTTGATGTATACGATCCTAAAATTGAATGATATAATTTTTGAAAATAAAAAACTCATGAGTTTACTTCACGTCCTAGTAGGTATTCTCAAGTGATGTTACTAATCAATTTAAAAATACATCCCTGTGATACACAATGATGGATGCGGAATCCGTACAAACAACCAGGAGATTTATTTATGTTCGAAGTCCCACTCAAAGTTCCAAAAAATGCACACACACACACACACACAGAAAAAAGAAAGGCATACTTACTGGACAGGTAACCTTGAGAGGATGCGCGAATTTTATAGCAGCAAAAGTTATCTACAGGCAGAAAACTGGAGCCAGACGTCTCACATGTCGACAAAGACTGAAAAGGGTCGGCAATATTCAGCACGACTTATACCAGCTAGAGGTCCGTGCGGGGAGGCGGAAAGACATGGATCTATCCAAATTGAAGGATGTGATGGAGCAGACCAGGGCCCTACACGGGCTGTAGCGCCACGAATCATGAATGAATTAAAATGTATTTTAACAAATTCTTTAGACAAAACAAATTTCAAAATAAAATAACGAAGACCTTGCTTGCAAATTCAAAATTTTTCAAAACCATGTCCAATTTATTGTATATCCTCAGGGATTAACATGGCTGGCATCGTCACCTTCTTCATCGCTGGTTTTTTGTGTTCTGTTCCCATTGACAACGGCTGGCCCTTTGTCTTCTACGTCTTTGGTAAAACTATCAATTGTCAAACTTACTTTGTGTTGTGATGCAGTTATACTTTTTGTCGTGACTTATTCGATGTGTAGATTAATGAAACAACTAACTTAAGAACATTGATCCCGACTTAGTGAGGTTGTATCTTAACTAGAAGATTTAATTTTGCAATTGATAAACGAAGACCTCTCTTGAAAAGTTCAAATTTACATTCGAAAATAGTACACCCCCTCCACCCGGAAAAAAAAACGTGAAGACAAAAAACACTTGTTTATAGAAACTGTCCTAAATGACTGATTGACTGGCTGACTGGGTGGCTGACTAACTGACTGGCTGACCGACTGAATGAGTGAATGGCTGACAGGCTGACTTACTGACTGACTTGATAACTGACTGACTGGCTGATTGACAGACTGACTGGCTGGTTGACTGGCTCCATGGCTAACTGACTGGCAGGCTGGTTGGCTGGTTTGCTGACTGGCTGGCTGGCTGGCTGGCTGACTGACAGACAAACTAGCTGGCTGACTAACAGGCTGGCTGGTTGACTGCCTGAGTGTCTGACTGGCTGGCTGGCTGACTGACTAGCTGGCTGAGTCATTGGCTTACTGACTGACTGACTGATTGAGTCCATAGAAGCCATCATCCCTATTTAATCTAGAAGTATTAATTTTTGATAGGTAAATTCAGATCTTGACGTAAAAATGAATTTTCTCTTAAAGTTTAAAGTGGGGAGGGAGTGGATTTTTCCTATATTGTAAAGAATTAGATGATGCTTTGTATGGTCTCTCAAAAAAAGTAATAAGCTGAATTGTCCTTTTAATTGTCTTGCCTTTTATTTTAATCCCAAACATATCTTATCCATTTTTCCCTTCACAATGCAAAAAAACCTCAGCCCCTATTTTGATTGATTTGCAATAATCTAGCTATTAAAAGCATATTCAATTATCTGTACATATACACATGTTTGTTAAAAGTATATTCAACTATCTGTACACCAGGGGCCATAACTCTACTGTGGACTCTAGCATGGCACATAATGACTTCTCAAAAGCCCGAAAACCATCCTTGGATTTCCGACGAGGAGAAGTCTTTTATCATCGCCACACGCAGTCGTGGCATTGGGGCTAACAAGGTAGAAAACATATGCATGTAAATCTTTGTCTGATAGAGAATTATTTACTCGTATTCGCATCAAATAATCTGTGAAAATGATGCATCTTTTCAGCTTTAAATATTTCATTATATTAATAAAGATTTTATCAAAACGATTATTGAAAAAAACAACAACATAGATCTACTAGAAAGAACATACCAGGTGTCCATTGATGAAGATATCATAAAGAAAAGATGGATGTGGATAAGGCATACGCTACGAAAACCCCTAGATAGCACCACCAGACAATGCCTAACATGGAACCTGCTGGGAAAATCAAAGAGAGGAAGGCCTAAGAATACATGGAGACGCGAGCTAGAGGCAGACACGCAAAATATGGGATACACCTGGAAGCAATTGGAAAGAAAAGCACAGGACCGTGAAAAGTGGAAAATTCATATAAACGGCCTACGCCCCCAAACGCAGTAGAAAGGCGTAAAGAAAAAAAAAGATAATTGAAAAATAACGCATCTTTTATTATCAATCAGTGTCGCCACGTTACTTTTGGTGACTCCCGGTCATCTTACGATTGAGCGCCCCAAAGCATTCTAATGTAATAGTTTATAATTTGTTCTTCCTTACAGCTTGGCGCCTTTTAAATATCTGCCCCCCCCCTCTCCCTGCACGTTGCAGCCTAAAGGGATGCAAGGGTCTACGCGACGGCTCTGCCAACAACGTACTCAGTGAAAGACCTTTGAAACAACATCTTAATTACTTATTAACATCAAATCTTTTAAACTTTTACCCTTGATAGTAAGAAAAAATACATATGTATGGACCTACAAACACAACTCCATAAGCACTGACAGAAAAGAGTTTATATACAAAATATTTTGTAAGGTATTTTTCCTGTGACTTTTTTTCTTAGTGATGTGTGACTTTTTCCTTTCACTTTTTTCTTGTGAACATTTTTTTCTCCTGTGACTTTTTCCTGTGACTTTTTCCTGTGACTTTTTCCTGTGACTTTTTCCTGTGATTTTTTTCCTAGCAAAATTTGTGTTTTTTTTTTTTTTAATGACTTTTTTGTACCAAAATTTGTGATTTTTTTTTTTTTTTACTTTAATTTTTTCTAATCAAATTTTTTTTCTTTTTTTTTTTTTTTTTTTTTTTTTCCTTTCAAAATTTTTTTTTTTTTTTTTTTTAATGACTTTTTCGTACCAAAATATGTTATTTTTTTTTTTTGTCACTTGAAATTTTTCCAAGCAAATTTTGTCACTTTTTTTTCTTGTGACTTTTGTTCCTAGAAAAATTTCTCACTCTGTTAGCCGTGACTTTTTCGTACCAAAATATTATGTCACTTTTTTTACCTCTGACTCTTTAACGCTCAAATTACCCCGTTATCAATTTTTAAATTGTATTTTGTTTAATCCACATTTCACTTGTCGTTCTATCGTCATTAAATTTTTTTTTTTTTACATTATCAGATCAAGCATATTTTTATATCTGTGTGAAACTCTCAGACAGGAAGCAGAGAAAAGCCACCATACCGAACCATTATGACGTCAGTTCCGATACTTGTGTACTTTAACGTCACGTGCGTGCACATCTGGAGTTCAACGATCCTCTACACTTACTTAGCCGTTTACTTCTCAAGGCTGCTGGGCTTTACATACGAGGAGGTAATCCTACCAGTCCATGTGGTTGATTACATTACATTTAAAAAAAAAATATTGCAAGACTAAGAAAGTATGCATAGATCTTAAATTATAATCTTTTTTTTTTTGTTCGTCCGTCGAGGATCGACAATGACCATCGATTCGTCTGGTGACTGATGACTTGCGCGGGTGACTTTTGTTTAAAGTAAGGAAGAGTTGCGCGGCGTCAACCTCGCTCTCTCGTCCGGGCCAACCATATCCAGTGGCAAGACTCTACGCCAAGACGAGCAGGGATGGACACGGTTGCAGGAATTTGTCATTTTATGCGTCATACGGGACTCCAACTCCGGGTTTGAATTCAGAGTTTCTTTCTCTTAGATGAGTTGCCGACCAAGGTTAACGAGTCTCATCCTTCCGGAGTGATGTTTTTGCTTGACTGGCCTTTGGCTGGAATTGAACTCGAGAGCACTAACTTGAGGTTTGCTCAGTTTAGACCATTCGACATATTCTCATCGGCTGGCTTCTATACTTTGACATGGAGAGTTCAAAACCATCCAGTTTTGATTTTTTTTTATATAATCCTATCTTCCAAACCTTTTTAAAGACTACTTTGTGTTGTAATGCATTTATATTTTTGTCGTAAGTTTTTCGGTGAATTGATGAATCAAAAACTTACTTAAAACATTCCTGCCGACCTAGTGAGTTGGTTATGTTAATGTTCTTCTTTGAAGTTCGTGACTGTTTTATCTCGCGTTTCTTTGAATTTCGCGCCCTTGTAAATTTTAATGGCGTCTTGTTAGCTCTAGGACACAACGTCCACCTCGATTCCGTGCTAGCTCGTACCATAAATATAACTGTTACAGGCTGGTAATCGGATAATCAGTTTAATAGCTTCGTTACGCCTAAGGATAAATTATTAAACTAGTCAATGGTCTACGTGGCACGTGGTTGTTTATTCATCATAAGCTTGCCTTCTACCTCGCGCTCCCACCCTTCAACTCACTTGCTAGCGAAAAATCACCACAACGTACAACGTCACCTCCCATACCCAAATACGTAACAAATGCAAACCACATATAAATTACTACTCAATTCATCTCCACTCCAAAAACACACACCCATGTGAACGAGCCATGAAGAGTAAACAATGTACAGGCACAAAGACGACGGATCACGTGCTAAGCAAATGCCAACACTATAACGTAATCTACCTTTCTATTGACGCAATGTCGGCCAACCAATAATTGTCTAATTGTGACGATCTCACGTCAGACAGGTGTGCTGGTTTCTTCCATGGCCTTATGTCGTCTGCTCGGGGCGTATGCCTGGACGATTTTCGGGAACGTGTTGATGAAAAGACCTGGGATGACCACCAACAAGAACAGAAAGATTATCTT